GAAAATGTACCAAAGAAAGAATATATAAGGAGAGTGATTTAGGGGTCAGAGCACTGGGCTGGGACACAAGACATGAACATGACTGGTGCTACTACAAACCCCTAGGTGAAGGGCATCTTATGTAGATCATTTAGTTAAGTGGATAAAATCTGTATAAAGATTGTAAGAAGCTCTGATACTGTGGTAGTGAGGGCCATTTAAGTACCTAAATGGAAGGAAGGAAGGAAGGTTATCAAATGTTGTGTTTTTTGGGTTCTTTTAATGAAGGTGCTTACATTTTTTTTGAATGTTCATCCCATAAGCATTGGACATACATTATTTCCATGTAAAGAATATTAACCTAATTAACAAAAGTGTTTCATTCCATTTACTCTTTTTCCATAGGAATATGCTCCTTTTGTGGGAACACTGTTCTCCTGTATGTTTCATATAAGAAAAAGAATTTGCTGAAACCAGCAGAGTACTTCATAATCAACCTTGCAATCAGTGACCTTGGTATGACTCTGACCTTGTGCCCCCTAGCTGTAACATCCAGTTTTTCACACAGGTTTGTTCAATATGTACATGGTGTTTAACATCCTCTACACACACTGGAGGTCTTTGCCAGTGGAGACGCCTGCATTATTCTACCACTCTTATTGTAATGACAGAGAAAATTAATTACAGGGACTGAAAGAGGTTTGTTATAGAACAGCAGAGTTACTGAGCTGCAGGCTGCAATTAGCATTCTAGCCTGTTTTGAAGGCATTGACTTCCTGATTCCTACTGGAAAAAGTGGCAGGGATATTTCTTTCATGCAACTGCTTTACCTGCTGTCTTTTAATCTGCTGTGGGAGGAATCATAAAAGCAATTGGGAAATGTTTACCACCCTACTCTTTTTTTAGTGCTAGTCAAATATGATGAAGTTGCACTTAAAAACCTAAGGTAATCTGTAACTCCTGAGGATTCAGTTTTAATCCTGGGTTTTAAGATTTGAGTTAATTCTCAACCTACAATCCACCCCATAACTAGCTTTCCCCTCCTTTGCCCCTTCTTCTTCTCCCTATCTGTGACTTGTTAGATATTGGGCAGTATCTAGTGCATTCTGGAACTTCCCTAGGGAGCTTTATGAAATGGTGAAAGGGAAATAAGTGCTGTCCCAGGAAGGGCAGGAAGAGTCTAAATAGTTCTCTTCAGTGTTTTTCTCTGAATGCTGAGTTCTTAGGTGTATAGTATGTAATAGCATGATACTTATAATATTGGGCCTGTTGATATCGCTAAATTTCTTGTAATTGTGCAAGACTGGGTGCAAAGTGCTGTTTTATCTTTTCTGAATATTTCACAGCAAGACTGAAAGTGTGTGTGAAATTCTGAAAACTGAGAGAAATGTGTAAAGTTTTCAGTTAGCTGAAAAGGGTAACAGAAATTTGCAAGGTTTATTAAAACAAAACAGCTTAGTTTGGGCATAAAATGAGCTGGGAGGATGAATATTCTGTCTGCCCTTCATTTTAGTTCTAAGGGTGAATAGGTCAGAGGAAATATGGAGTCAAGAGAGCAGCTCGGTTTTCTCTGTGTGTCTGTATAGTAATGTAACAAGAAAGAGAAAAGTGTATGAGAAGGGTCAGCAGCAGCAGCGATGTTGTCCAAATCAGATGAAACTTCTTACTGTGAGGCGTGTGTAGATGAAACGGGGGCCCTAAATTGAAGTGGTGGGTTTTAAAAAACACCACTTCAATTTAGGGCTGATTAACCCCCTGTGTTGTGCACACCCCCCATTGACTTACCTGCCTCTGGCAGGGAGGGAAGGGCGAGCTGCCAGTAGGCACAGTGGTCCCTGGGCTGTGGGGAAGGGGGTGGTTCTTCCCTCTGCGGCAGCAGCGCCCCCACCCTGCCCCCAGGTTGCACCCACCCACAGGCACCTGGCTCGGGCAGTCCCGGGGGGTACCACAGCCGTAGTGCTAGTAGAAGCACTAGGCGGGGAGTGGGGGGTGTGGAATCAGGCTCACTGCATTTCTTCGGCAGAGCTGCTTTCCCGGACTGCTGCCAGGCTGCCTGCAGGGCTTCCTGCAGAGCCACAATGCTGCACAGAGCCCAGTGCTTTGCTCTGTGGCTGTAGGGGCAGCAAACTAAAACTCCTTGAAGTAGTTTTAGTTTGTGGCACCCCAAGTCACTTAAGGCGCATTACACTGCCAAATTTCCTTCAGTGGCTGGAATTAATGTGCAATACACCGCCGAGGCGTGCTAACACCGACACCATTATAGCGGTGCAAAAACAATTAGCCCACTTAAAGTGTTGTGCACACATTAATTACAGCTGCTGTAGCAAATTTGGCAGTGTAATGGATCTTAAATAACTTGGGGTCATTTGACTCCTCCTTTGAGGAGTTTTAGTTTGCTGCCATACCAGCCATGGAATGAAGCACTGGGCTCCATGTAGCTCAGGGGCTCTGAAGGAAGCCCTGCAGGCAGCCTGGCAGCAGCCTGGGAAACCAGACTCTGCCCAAGAGAGGGAAAAAAAAGCGGTGATCCTGATCTGTTTTTTTTTTTCTTCCCTGGAGCCTGCATGAGCTGCAAGGGGGCCCAGTGCTTCCCTCCATGGTTGTGGTGCCCTGGGACAGCCAGAGCTGAGTGCCAGCAGGCGGGTGCCGTCTGGGGGTGGGGGCCACCGCTGCTGCGGAGGGAAGCACCAGCCCTCCCCACAGGGACCACTCTGCCCGCTGGCAGCTTACCCTCCCCTCTCCGCCACTGGAGAGGCAGGTAAGTCGGGCATGTGCACGACACAGGGGTTTAATTGGCCCTAAATTGAAGCGGTGTTTTTAACCTCACAGACCAGTGGTTCAGGCACTCTCTTGACTCATGGACAACTTAAGTTGATTTATTTCCAAATAAGGGTGAGAGGGAATATGAATCCAGCACCCCCCGGTTGCAGATAAGTACCTTAATCACTGGGTTATTGGAGATAAAGATAATAACACCTCCAACACTTTCTGAATGGCACTTAAGTCTCCTTATATATCAAGCATTTTGTTTTGAAACTTCTCTTGGTTTTTTTGCTAAGAATGCATGAAATAGGAAAAACCATCTTGTTCTAGTCTAAGCATTCTGAATGCCATTTTTTATATTTTTTTTTCTTTTGGGTAGACCAATATATATTTTAGTAATATATTAATAGAGACCTGCTGAAATCATGATTGCGCAGAAATCATGAAATTGGGTGATTTTCATGAAATCTGTGGGGGAGAGGGCATGTTACTTACTACAAATAAAATACTGACTCCCCAGTGGCAGCCAACAGTCCTCCTGGCTGTACAGCTGGCTAGCAGGAAGGGATCTGCAAGCATGAAAGGAAGACTGAGATGGCTGTCATCCCCACCCCTTGCTGGTGATTGGCTGAGAGGGCTGCCAGTAATGTGGTCCAGCTCCTCTCTACCAATCAGCAGTGAGAGGTGGGGCTATATGATGGCCAGCCCTCTCAGTAAATCAGTGGTGAGGGGCAGGGCCATATAACAGAGGGCCATTTGAGGGGCAGGACCTCTCCACCAAGCAGTGGTGGAGGTTGGGGCCACTGGGCCTCTCTGCCAATTAGAGGTGTTGGGGTGGGAGTGGGGGGCAGCCCTGGTAAGCTCTTGAAAATGGTGGCTGACCCCATGTTTTGCCCACAGTCAGCTGGTAGGTAGACCTCTATATATTAAAGGCTACTGGGAGTTGTGTGATGACAGCTGCATAAATGTTTTATTTCGGTGTCAATTACGTATATACAAATGTAATATATCACTGTACCGATAGACACAGCAGGGAAGCTTTACATCCTGGGCAGCAGTGGTGCACAGGTTAGCTGCCAGCTGAGGTAATGTCTATTTTTGCTTCCCTCAACTCCCCCTCAAAGATAGCACCCCAGGGATTGCTGACCCAGTCACCCAGCCTCAGTTATGCTACTTCTATATCTTATTCTAAGACTTCAGGAGATTGTGGGGACCTGATCAAAAACACTCCACAGAAAACAAAAGAAAGTACCTTATTTACTAGAATATAAGAAAGACCCACTTCCAAATTAGATTTTATATATAGAAAATTTATGAATTTGTCATAATTTTCCAGGTGTAGAATCTAATTATTGGAGTATTGCCCTGAATTTGCCTCCTTCCCACTGCTACAGCAGAGAAAATCAGTCCGAGAGATCAGATACCCCTCTTGCCCTCTGCCTCCCCACTACTTTTCCCATCTGCAGACCCTTCCCCCCTCTTTACTGTCAGACCCTGCTCTCCCTGAGCACATGGAAGTGAGGAGCAAATCTGGAAACACTGAATTTAAAATTAAACATGGGTTAGTAATTTGCATGTAGTTCCTCCAGAATGTATGTTACCTTTTTTTTGGAAACTGCTGCAAGTTTTAGCACAGGTACTCCATAAATACCCTTTTAAGCAGCACTTCAACAACTACTTTTATATATAAACTATGCATGATATTAGTCCAAAGCCAAAAGGCTTATGATTTACCATTTAGTTCATTGGACTGGGTCCTAGCAGAGTCAACAACATTTTAAGCCATGGTGACTGCACAGCTTAGCACTGTTGAGTATGTGTGTATACTCTAGAATCCCCCTAACAAAGGATTCGTGTGTGCTAATTAGCCCCCCACTTATTACTGAAACCAGGTATTTTTGTCACAAATCCTGGAATCCTCCAAAATTTTATGTATAGATGAGACACAGGGCAGCTTGGTCCAGCTTCACCTCCTAGATGGCGGGGCCACAGTAATCATATGCTCAGACTGAGAGAAGGGCTGACAGAGGGATTCTGGTGAACTGTTTGGGGCCCATTTGTTGATGTTTGCCAGTCATTTAAGGCTGGTGAAGAAACAGGAATAATTGGAAATGGGAAAGAAAAGTGCCAGCCCAGCTGTGGGAGTGAAGAGGAAGTTGAAATCTATGCAGCATAGTGGCTCGCCATGACTTGAAATTGAATTGTTGCTGAGGGGGACTGCGCTTAGTGCTCATTAACCTACTCTGCATATTTTCTTCAGATGTGTTGAATTAACCTATACTGTGGTAGGTTGTCATCAGGATGCTTGTCCAATATGCCATGTGTTTTATAGTCGCATACAGTGTTGGCTGCATATAATCAGCTTCCTAGTTGGTTTCCATTACTGAGCATGTGCTGTTTTTGGTAGCAGTTTAATGATGAGCCAAGGTATTTAAGGTGGTTTCTTTGTATGCAAATGTAAGATGAGGGGCTTCCCCCCCATGGTGATTGGTGAAAAAAACCTTGTTTTGTATTTGAGTAAATACGGTAGCGCCTGACATGGTTTTGTCACAGGTGCTGCTTGAGCCTTTGCTAGGCATATATACAACTGAGGAGGGAAAAAGGAAAAGAACAGGATTGGTCAAATTTTTATGAAGGAACATTTTGCTATCATTTACATAGTTTCATGGGAAGCATAATTTTTGTGATAATAGGTTGATTTCAGTAAAATTATTTTTACGAAAAAATTGGGGGAACATCCTGTTTTGGTTAACTACTGACCAGCAATTAACAGTGTAGTAATTATTGTTTACCTTCACACAGTAAATGGTGAAAGTCAACATTTTAGCAACAACTGCTATATCCAGTTTTATAGTGGAGAAAGAATGTCTGTATCTAAATATTGACTGTCTTGGTTATTTTCAGATGGCTGTATGGTAAACATGTTTGCTTGTTCTATGCATTTTGTGCTGTATTGTTTGGGATCTGCAGTATGTCGACGCTGTCGTTATTGAGTATCGTGTGCTGCCTCAAAATCTGTTTCCCGGCTTATGGTAAGTTCATTTAATTCTCCCTCAGATTGTTAAATATCTTTCACTGCAACAGAGACTACCCACACTATCCTGTATAGCCTTAAAGTGATTGGCCCAAAATACTAATTTATGTTATCCCCAGTAATTGAATTGTGTGCTAGGAAAATCTAGTTTATTACTTGGGAGCCATCTTAAGCCCAGGTAGAAGACTGAGAAGAGAACCGAGAGGAAATAGAATCCTAGAATCCTAGAAGTAGGGTCGGAAGGGACCTTGTAGATCTTCAGGTCTGACCCCCTGCCTGGGCAGGAAGAAAACTGGGCTCAAATGACCCCAGCCAGGTAGGCATCAAGCCACTTCTTAAAGACCCCCAGGGTAGGAGCCAGCACCACTTCCCTTGGAAGTTGGTTCCAGATCCTAGCTGCCCTAACTGTGAAGTAGTTCCTACGGATGTCTAATCTAAACCTACTCTCCAACAACTTGTGGCCGTTATTCCTTGTTATCCTGGGGGGTGCTAGGGGAAACAAGGTCTCCCCCAAACCCTTCTGGTCCCCCCTAGTGAGTTTATAGATGGTCACCAGGTCCCCCCTCCGCCTTCTCTTGTGAAGGTTGAACAGGTTAAGGTCCCGTAGCCTCTCATTGTAGGGTCTGCCCTGCTGTCCCCGGATCATGCGGGTGGCCCTCCTCTGGACCCTCTCAATGTTGTCCACATCCCTCTTGAAGTGGGGTGCCCAGAACTGGACACAGTACTCCAGCTGTGGCCTGACCAGTGTCGCGTAGAGGGGGAGGATCACCTCCTTGGCCCTACTTGAGATGCACCTGTGGATGCACGATAGGGTCCGGTTAGCCCTGCCGACTGTGACCTCGCATTGTCAGCCCATGTTCATCTTGGAATCAATGATGACTCCAAGATCCCTTTCTGCCTCCGTGCTCTCAAGAAGGGAGTTTCCCATCTTATAAGTGTGCTGCCGGTTACTACTGCCCAAGTGCAGCACCCTGCACTTGTCCGTACTGAAACATATCCTGTTTTTGTTAGCCCACCCTTGCAACCTATCCAGGTCTTACTGCAGTCTTTAGGTCAAAAGCAAAACTGGCCTCAGATGATTTTATATTTGGGGTTTGCTAGTTAGTACCTTGGGTATCAGAGCAGATTGTGTTTTTTACTACTTACCTTTAATTTCATGTGACTGGCACTTGGCTACCTCTGATTTTCTGTAAATGACAGGAATGCATGCTGTATTTTTATGACAGTTCCACTATTCTTACTTTATTACCTTATTTTTCAGATAAGAGACAAGGCAGATAATATCAAAATACGTGGGGCATTTCAGTCTTACTACTAAAGAACAGCTTTGAAATTCTAATATCTCATTGCTACAGAACAACAGCATAGGTCAAATTGAGTCCCTTTAATTATGGCTGTAAAGATTGTGTGTTAATAGGAATTCACCATGGGCCCATACTCTCTGTTGTTAATTTGTTAAATTTGCCTCTGTGCTACAATTTCACTCAATAATTTAACCCAGAGGATGGCTTGCATTTTGAAAAATCAATCCAAGGGGAAGACATAGGGTATGGACAGGTGTTCATCTGTAGTAACACAAATGAAAAAAAGATACAGAGCATAACAGGTGTTCCAGCCCCCTGGCTGGAGAGCTACAGAAGGTGCCTCAGAAGCTGGATAGCTGCTGCTTGGTCCCCCAGTCCTTAGGGGAACCCAGTCACTGACAGCCTGCCTTTTCCCTTGCTGGGGAAGGGGGCAGACTGTTTTTGATCAGCTGGCAGCTGCTGAAAAGCATCAGCTGCCAGAAGCAACCATCTACCACTTGTGGGGATGGTAGGGATGAGGAGAACTGGCCTCTTTGTCCTCACCACCCTTGATAGTGCTACTGCCAGCTGGGGCTCTGGTGGTGGGAATTCCTATACACTGTAATACTCCTCCCTTTCCACTCCTCTGCCCACAGCCTGCCTGCTCTGCTGAAGAGATGATCAGCAAGGCTAGGCAGCCCAGGCCTCCACCATGGCCAGTTGAGCTGCAGCTCTCCTGTCTGCAGCCTCACAGCTGCTGCAGCCAGCTCTTTCTGTGGCTCTTGAAGTGAGAGTGGCAGTAGTAGGATCCCAGCAGAGCATGTTATCAAGAAGCCAGCCACTTTGCCTTCCTCTCCCCTGCTTCCTACCCCGCCCTGAGCCTTGAAGGGGGAGGGGGGGCAGACAGGAGGATGTGGGATGCTGATGATCCTAGAGACTCCTGTTGTGCTATGTGTATCTGCACAGGCATTAAATGTGCTGCTACAAAGTGTAGCTCTGCCAAGAAGTTTGTTTTTTGTAAGCAGTAATATTTTGTGGCACTGTGAATAGCTTGAATGGCTATAGGCTTGTTTTTTATAGTGCTACAGAAGGGTGTATTTAGTGATACAAATGTAATGCCTATCCATGGATGTAGTTAACATTTATAAAATAATTTGTAAAGCACTGCTTCATTCTCTATTAGGATATCACTGTTCAAACAGTTCAAAAGTGGCAAACATGTAGATCTGGATTGTGACCCCAGTGTAATAGTGCTCAATGCAACTCAAGTGGGACAAAGTGTTTACTTCAATCTATCTAGGTGGCGACCTCTCTTTGCTTTGGAATGAGGATGACTGCTCTGTAGATCCATTGGTGTTGCACAGATGTAGATTATACTAGAAAGAATTGACTGTGTAATATTCTAATATAGACCTGGCTCCTTGCTTTGCTGAGGAATATCCAGCACAAGTTGGGAAAAGGGACTTTTTCTGAGGTCTGAAGATGACATAAAGCTCATTTCTGCACTCCGTTAATTATGTTACTTTGTTCTGGTCTGCTTCCCCAGTATAACTTAGGATGGGAGAAAGGTACACATTTTCACTTTAATAAAGGTTTGATTTCTCCAAGAGCTGTTAGAACTGAGAAAGTCCTAGATTGGATGAAATGCATTGCTTTTTACCATGATATCTATTTCATGGTCTGCGCCCAGAGTTCTGGCACAGAATGCTTCCTGATGCAGAATGCAGGGAAAAATGCAAAGCCATGTCTTGGATCATTATACTTTACTTCGCTCTTGAGTTTCACCACAAATCATGCCTTTCTTTAGCTACTTCTCAGTTCTTTAGCTACTTCCTTTCTTTAGCTACTTTCCATCGTGGAGTGAGCTCCATCTGTTAAAATACTTACTGTCCTCTTCCATTCCACACCTATTTTGTCCAAAGCTGTGATTATACTGGTGACAGTGTCCTCTCTTGCGGTTCTGTCTTTCATTAGTACTAACTCCTTCAAACTCCTCTTTAACATTCATGCCGTTATTGACACCTCAAACAAACACAGCAAACTGTGCAATGTTAGTCACATCTGTGCTTTCATAGAGTCACAGAATAGGATTGAAAGGAACCTCATGATGACATCTAGTTCAACCCCCTGCTCAAGGCAGGATCATCCCTGACTAAACAGTCCTAGTTAAGCGTCTGTCAAACTTGCCCTTAAAGGCCTCTGAGGGTAGATATTCCACAACCTGTCTGGGTAGCCTATCATGTTTCTCAGTACTTTTGTCATTATGGCTCACTGCTAGACTGTTTCTAATTTTCTAGACCTTTCTTGACACAATACTCCAGACAAGGCCTCACCAGTGTCAAATAGAATAGAAAGATCACTTCCCTTGATTTGCAAGTGATGCTTCTATCAATACATCTAAATATACTTTTTTGTTTTTGTTTTTGCAACAAGGGCATACTGTTGCAAAATATTCAGATTATGGTCCACTGTAACCCCCAGGTCCTTTGCAGTACTGTAGCAAGTCCTTCCCTAGTGTATACTTGTTCAGGCACAAAAAGCAGGTGCACACTGTGGGTGATCTATGTGGCCCTGACGTAGTTCAACTAGAGAACATTATAGTCTGATTTAGGGCCTTGCTGCACATTGGGGCTGTGCAAAATTTCAGTGGCCGTTTCGTTTAGTTTCGGATACAGATGTTTTGGTGGCTGAAGCACCAAATCCGAAATGAAATGCAAAGTTCCAAATCAGCTGTGAAATGAAACAGATCCATCCAAAATGTTTTGCAAATGTTTCATAAATGTTTCGGATGTTTCAGAGGTGGGCTTGAACTAAGGAGGGGAGGGTGGGGGGAAGGACTGCTCTGCTATTGACATGTGTAGCTGGCCAGTGACAACAATCTGTCCCTGAGGTCCCTTCCAATCCCAGTGCTCCAGGGGAGGGACAGAGAAGCACCATAAAAGGCTGTTTGTGAACTGCTGTCTGCCATTTTGCAGCTGTGTCTGTCTGTGTAGCAGCAGCCAAGAGCAGCACCTGTAAGCTTGCATCTTGGTAGTGCCTTCCTACCAAGTTGTAGCCAAACCTTTCCTATTTACCCTTGCCTACCCTCCCTATTGTTATCTCTTGCAATTCCTTCTTCCTCAAAAACTCTGTTCTTCTTATTTTTTTCCCTCCAAACAAAAAGAGAGCAGTGCTTTGCCTGGCAGTGTTTCATCACGAGTTCCCCCTCCCCCAAACTTAGATGCACTCACTTTCCCAGCACTAGCAGGCGTGAGGCTTCTGGTGCTAGTGGCAGCAAGGAAGTGGGACCAGTGCCTGCATCTGCATCCCCTCCAATAATGACAGCTATAATAACCACCAGCATGACAAGCAGCACCAGCATGACAATCTCCTCCACCCCCATTTCAGTTCCCAGCCTGAGCCTTCCAGTGCCAGAGGAGGTGCTGGATCTGGAAGCAGGGGACCTGAGCACCCTAGCAAAATAAATTCTGCGGATCAAGGAGGAATCTGAGTTTGTGCTCCACTCCCCTCCAAGTTCCCCTAGAGCCAGGTCTCCTTCTCTGAAAGGCAGTTTGGAGGAGGTTGACGTTGAGGTTGTGGAGGCAAGTGGCTCAGCTGAGTCAGCTCCTCCTGTTGTTGTGCCTGTGCCTGCTGAGAAGAAGGATCAGGCAGGATCTGCACTTGCACCCCAGAAGCGAGGAGGTAGTGTGGTGTGGGATCATTTTGAGGTGGTAGA